ATAGGTTCGTTCGACCCACTTATACTGGAAGGTAAATCACATCAATGTCGTGAAGTAGCTGAACTGTCCTCGGCTCTGGGATCAACTCTCCTCAACTCCTACATATAAAATCTCTTTTAATCACCCTTTCTTACTCATAACCCCTCTAAGGGCCAACTCTGATCAAATGTCATAGTCAAAGTCAACAACTTTGTTGAATCAACTCGTAGAGTTGGTCCATCAACTCGTCGAGTTCCTTGATCCATGAAACTCTTGAAAACTCAATCCTACTCATTGAGTTCTTATATGAACTCGTCGATTTCTCCTTCATAAAGAGTCAGGACATTTCACTCACAACTCGTTGAGTCCCTCCTTGAACTCGTCGACTTCCTCAATCTTCATACCCCAAAACCATGGCCAATTCGTTGAGTCATATCCTAGACTCAATGAGTTTGCTCATCAACAGAAACGGTTGGGGAACCATGACCCAACTAGCCGAGTTGTGTGAACAACTCGTCGAGTCCCCCATAGTCTAAACCTATTCAATCGTTTGTAGTTGTGTTTAATGTATCCAAACAATAGATATGGTCCCCTAGGACTAAATTATCACGTAAAGTTGCTAACTTTACGTTCATGCATGGTGTGATGAAGTTAATAACACAAAAAATCAACTCCTAAAGAGGTATAAGGCATGTAGAAGTGCCAAGGCTTAATAAAGTTAACAACTTTGAGTCTCATAATGCAATGGACATCTTGATCTGAATTCATAACTCCATAACATGCTTGCATCCATGAATGTGAAACAACCCAAAAACACGGTCCAAAATTTTTGCTTTTAATTTATTAATCAAACCATAAATACCATCATCATGTAGACATCATAAAACATATGTCATCCAAAACATCACATCAAATGTATAAATATCAAAATATCATCTCAAATATCAGAGTAAATATCCCATGCTATAAAAACTATGGTGTGTGCCATGCGATCATCCCGAGCCCTACCATTTGCTAGTAGAAGTACCTGAAATCAAACTGAAAACTGTAAGCACGAAGCTTGGTGAGCCCCCCAAACTACCACATAACATATAACACATAACATAACTTTGGTATTACTCCCAGCTACATCGGGACGAACTTGGCATCGGCTTACCCATCATCAGACTCCTGTCTGGCATCGGGCTCACCCGACATCAGACAATGTTTGGCATGGGGACCCACCCGACATCGGGCTTGCCCCACCATCGGGCTTACACCGACATACATACTACATAACATATATCATAAACACATAACATAAACACAAAATGTACCTCAGGGTTACGCCAACATCGGACCAAAACTTGGAACACATAACACATAACATATAACTAGCATACATCGGGCTTACCCCGACATCAGACCTAGGCCCAGAACATATAACACATAACATGCATTAATCATAAAGACATCAAGCATACATAACTACTTCTCAGGACCGCCCTGACATCAGACCGAAGTCCAGAACACATACTTTACATTAGGCTAGCCCTGACATCGGACTGAAGTCCGGTACATATTAACATACATAAATGGGCCGACATTGGTGCCTTCGACCCGTTATTACTGAAGGAAGACTCACCTCTCAAAATGGATGTTGATCTTGTGCGTGAGTAATCTCTACTAGCCGCTTCCACATCTCCCTGACTAACTCTATACAATAATACTTAGTCAGAAAACTGAAAATCCATCTAAGGGTAAAATAACAATTTTACCCATGGTCAAAGTCAATGCTCTGGTCAAAGTCAAAATTCTGGGTTGACCAACTCGCTGAGTCAACCCTTTAACTTGCTGAATTATATAATTCAGAAAACCTGAAATCGCGACTCAACTCACCGAGTCGTTCCTCCTACTCGTGCGTCGAGTTCTATCGAGCTGCTCATAGTCGCGACTTGGCGAATCAACCCGTCGAGTCCTTTTACAGACTCGTCGAGTTCTACCATAAACTAGAACGGGACAACACAAACCGAATCGTTGAGTTCCCTTATGGACTGAACGAGTCCTTCTGTCTGTTTGGCTATCTTAACAGATTAACCCTTGCTCTCTAGATCTATAACCCACACTTCGCTTGTTCACTTGAAATAACCTTTCTAAGTGTAACGCATGGTTCCCTAGTATGCACTTAATTTATTTATTTATTTATTTTAAGAAAAGGACTCGATGAGTTGGTGGCCCTAACTCGTCAAGTAGAGAGAAGTCTATGCACAGGGATTAAGAAATCGACTCGACGAGTAGCTCGGCCAGGGTAAAACCCTAATTTCTAGGGTTTACACCCTATTTAAGCATTGTAATCCCCACCCATTGGCCTCATTTATAGCCTCCTTGTCCTAAACCCTAATCCACAAAACCCTAGAGTGTTCTTTGAGTGTGGGAGCCATTTTTAGGTGATGTTGTATGTTTTTAAGCCTAGAAGAAGAAGAAGCTTGAAGGTTCAAGGAGAAGCTTATAGATCCAGGGACTTCGTTCCGTACTCTTCACTTTCTAGTAATCAAGCTCTCAACTTGTCTTATAGTTCATTATATATCTTTGTGGTCACTTTTATGGGTTTTTTGTCCAAGTAGTATGATTTATGAGAGATGGATGTTACAAGTGGACAATACTTTCAGATCTGGAGTCATTAAGGGCTGTAAAGACATAAAGGTGCAAATTTATGCCATTTGAGCCTCATGCAAACCCTAAGGATGTTGTTATGTGATGGGTTTTACACAAAATAACATCCTATGTGTTCATGCAAATCCTAAAGCTTGGATCTAGGTTTCTCTATTGTACATGCAATTCATCCAAGTCTTTCAAACCCTAGATCTAGCGTATGAGATCCGAAATTAACATCATAAATAGATCTAGATGTATACCTTGTTGTTGATTGAAGATCTTGAAGACTTGAGAACCTTATCACCTCAAATGTTGTGCATCTAATGAATCACAAACACCAAGAGCAATTGGAGGAAGCAAGAGAGAGAGAGGGGAGAGGTGAAATTCGGCTCTAAGACTTCTAGGGTTCAAGTGGCTGAATTTCCATGCCTAAGGGGTCTTTATATAGGTATAGGAATTAGGGTTTCAGTCATTATCCTTATCTAGTTATTTAGCGACCAAGCAGGCCATAAGATAATTCTAGAATCCCTATCATGGACGAATTCTTAAGGCTTTATCCCTAGAATTCATCCACCATATCATCTAGGGTTTCCTTGCTCAACTTTGTAACTATCACATAATTACAGTTCAGTCCCATTAGTTTAATTAACTTATTTTGATCATAAAATTAATTCTTAATCAATTATTGACCAATGTTAATTAAACAAATATGATTTCTCTTTAATCTATTAATCTTATAATATATTAATAAATCATAATAACCTCTTTTCTAATATTCCTCCAGTCAAGTTGCTTTGGTGAAGGCAACCAAAAAGGACCGTGCACAACCGGGTTAAGTATATACCAAATATAGTTATGGGCTTAGACACTAATCCAACAGTTTGCCACTTGGATAAGTCTAATAACTATAAATGCAAATGTAACTTCTAGATCCAATTAGCAATCGTTGTTCTCAAAACTCTTGATCTTATCAACAACCTGTCCTTAAGATAAGGGATCGTATCATCCTCTGTTCTAGATATCATGCAGAAAATTACATGGAACAAAGTCATACTTATTGTCTAGCAGTTTGTTTCTCGATCTCAGATTCGTTTGACATAGAACTTAATTGAACACATCAATTCAGTCCTGACCAGGCCCGACATATAAGTCAAACCAAATCATCGAGGGTCCCTGATATCGCTTTTACTTTGAGACACAAAGGGGTCATTATATTATAGCATACTACAACATATTTGTGTATTTGTAAATGGGCGAAACGTAAACGTAAACAATATACTTTACTATAGCTACCAATTAGAACAATGTACTATACTTCCACACAAAAACGACACCTTCCGACCCCCACAACGCGGGGGTCACCTATCTAGTTATTATTATTATTATAATTATTATTATTATTATTATTATTATTATTATTTGTAGATTTGGAAGCAATTGTGGAAAACATTAAAGAGATGAAAAATGATAAATTAAAGAAAATATGGAACACGAAGACATAAAAACGCATTGAAATTTTGTAGTATTTTTTTTATATATATTTTATTTTGTATCGAATAAAATAATTGTATTATTGTATTTACATATTATTAAATAAAAATAGATTTTTTATATGATTACTTACGAATATTATAGTATAAGAAAGAAATATGTATATACTTGAAAAATATACATATATACACTTAAAACGTTGATTTTTTTGTTAAAAAAATTAAAGCTTTTTTTTTTTTGAATATTTCAATTTTTTTATTTATTGATTTTTAAAACTTACTTTTAAAAAAAATTGCAGTTTTTTTGAAAAAATTACAGTTTTTTTTTAAAACACAGTTTTCTAAAGAAAATTGTAGTTTTTTCTCTTTTTTTTTGAAAAAATTGAAGGTTTTTTTTTTTTTTTTTTTTTTTTTTTTTTTTTTGAAAAAATGCAGTTTTTAATATATATATTCAATTTAAAAATGAAAAAATCTAAATTTAAAAAAAAAACCGAAAATTATTTCTAAAATTAAAAATCCAAAAGTTGGATTATTATGTTAATTTTTAGAACTTTTTATTAATATTTCCGATAACAAAAAGAAATTAAACATTAAATGAGATCGATAAAATGACGATCACGCCCTTAATAAATTAGTTTTGATCTAACGCTCCATCTGCAATATCGCTGGAGTAAGAGGAGAACTGAAAAAAATTGGAATTGATCTAAATGACGTAATATCGAAGAAGATTGGGTCCGGTGATGACATTATGTTCTGGCTTGATCGGTGGACAGGAGACAATACATTAAAAACATCCTTCCCTGAGATGTACAAACTGTAACGTCACAAACATTGCAAGATTAGTGATCGGTTACAGGACGAGCTATGTAACTGGATAGGAAAGAAACACCAACAACTATGGAGCAACTTCGTGAGATTCAGATGCTCACTAATGGAGTCAATACGTTCCAGTAAGTGGCTCAAAGTGATAGATGGGTGTGTAATCTATCGAGTGATGGAGTATTCCACGTTAATGCTCTTAGAACACAGATCAATTGGAAAAACATGATGCCAGGGGAAGTATCGATAAAGTGGACTCATGAAGTCCCGTTGAATGTCAATTGTTTCTTATTGAGGGCAAAGCTCGATCGACTCCCAACGGCACGTGCGCTAACTAGAAGGGGAATCCAGTTCATGTCCGTCTTATGTCCCTACTGTGAGTTGGAAGAGGAGGATACGACACACGTGTTATTTCGGTGCCCAATGGCATCAAAGGTATGGGAATATGTAGGTCATTAGTGCAACATTCCTCATCTCCAATTTCAAAATGCTGAGAAAATGGTGAAATATGTAGCACAATGGGGTACATGTTCAAAGAAAAGAAAAACCCTAACTAGCATATGTTATGGGACTGCATGGAGTATTTGGAAAGCTAGGTGCGATTGGATCTTTAAAAAATTAAGAACACCGCCACCCAAACAAGCAGATTCGGTGAAATCCATTATGTTTACATGGATTAAGCATAGGAGAGACCGATGCAACATTAGTTGGATAGATTGGTGTGTTAGTCCTTTTACCATTATGTAATTTACTTTTCTTTCATGTCATGTACTCTCTCCTTCCTAGCACCTTGCTAGGAGTTGATGCTCTTCTTTTATAAAATTCTTTGTCGGTTCCAAAAAAAATATAACGTGTCATACTTAGTTCTCAGGTTCTCGGAAAACTATGAGTTCTCAACAGATCTAAACAATATATATATATATATATATATATATATATATATATATATATATATATATATATATATATATATATAGGTTAGGTTCATTTGAGACCACCTATATTTTGTGAGACCGTGAGACGTATTTTTTTAATTTTTTTTATTTTTTTTTTATTTTTTTTAGTTAATTCATGTTCCGAAAATAATATTTAAAAAAAGATTTTTTTGATTTTTCCATTTATTTTGCATTTTAAAATTATTTTTAGAATATGTACAGTGTAATATTCTATTTAGAATATTTCACGTATTTTTAAAAAAAAAAAGATTTTTTTTAATATTTTTTTTTATATTTTTTTAGTTAATTCAAGTTTCGAAAATAATATTTAAAAAAAGAATTTTTAGATTTTTCCATTTATTTTGTATTTTAAAATTATTTTTTAGAATATGTCAGTGTAATATTCTATTTAGAATATTTCACGTATTTTTCAAAAAAAAAAAGGAATTTTTTTTTTTATTTTTAAAATTTTTTTTTTATATATTTTTTATTTTTTTTAGTTAATTCAAGTTCCGAAAATAATATTTAAAAAAAGAATTTTTGGATTTTTCCATTTATATTGTATTTTAAAATTATTTTTAGATTTGGTCTCACGGTTTCACAAAATTATAATGGTCTCAAATGAACCTGAACCTATATATATATATATATATATATATATATATATATATATATATATATATATATATATATATATATATATATATATATATATATATATATATATAGTGAATTAACTAAAAAAAATAAAAAATATATAAAAAATATAAAAAATTTTCGTTTTTTTTTTGAAAAATACGTGAAATATTCTAAATAGAATATTACACTGATATATTCTAAAAAATAATTTTAAAATGCAAAATAAATGGAAAAATCTAAAAATTCTTTTTTTAAATATTATTTTCGGAACTTGAATTAATTAAAAAAAATAAAAAAAATTCTATTTTTTTTTGAAAAATACGTGAAATATTCTAAATAGAATATTACACTGTACATATTCTAAAAATAATTTTAAAATGCAAAATAAATGAAAAAATTAAAAAATTCTTTTTTTAAATATTATTTTTGGAACATGAATTAACTAAAAAAATTAAAAAATAAATAAAAAAAATGCGTCTCACGGTCTCACAAAATATAGGTGGTCTCAAATGAACCTAACCCTATATATATATATATATATATATATATATATATATATATATATATATATATATATATATATATATATATATATATATATATATATATATATATATATATATAAAAGGAACTAACAAATTACAAAAGCCTCTTCAAAAAACATGAAACGCATGTGAAACAGAAATGAGGCATAATATATAAGATAAGTGATTGGCCTTTTCACGTCAAACAAGTATCAATCGTATGTAAGATGTGTACAATGACGACCTTGCCCTTCCACATGAGAGCAACCTCTGTACTTTTTTGTCGCATTTAAATCGTACGTCTTGACAACTCATACCCCTCAGCTACCCTATCTCGTCCATGTGCCCCATTTTAATTTTTTTTTTATTAAATAATAAACTTGTTTTTTCGGTTTTGTTTTCGTACATTTTATTTATTGTCGAGAAAAATGCCGATATGTGTTTCTATTTAAACAAAACAAATGCTTAGTACGTCAATATTCGAATGAGAACTTAAAACCATGACATACAAAAAATGTTTCATCGATCTTTGCAATCGTGGTTTATTTAGAAGCAACAAAAGATGAAGTTATGAAAAGAAATTGAATAAAGACAAAATAAGCGGGATTAAAAGAAAGAAAGTCTAATTCATACAGCTTTTTGATTTGAGATTCTTAAAGTTTAATAACATAACAATCATTATATATATATATATATATATATATATATATATATATATTATATATATATATATATATATATATATATATTAATTTAACAATTCAACTTTAATAATATGTTTAAAAAACCGTTAATTTTTAATAATGTGTTTAAAAGAACCATCAATTTTTTTTATAAAAGTTCTATAACAATCATTATAATCGGCAAATAACGGTCTAATAGGTAATTTTAAAAATTACTTTTTATTTATATTTTTGTTCAAATTAAAATTTTTTGTTAAACACAGTACTTTGCAGTTTTTTTTTTTTTTTTTTAATTCTTTATGAATAAGTAATTTCTTATTATAAATGCAAATTTTAATAATTTGATTGCTTTGATTAGGATAAGTTTTTGCGAATGGTTTTTAGTTATTATAAAATTGAAATTAAAACCATATGTTTGTATGAAAGTTGTATTTTCAAACTGAATTATAGAAACTGGATTTCACGGTTAGGTTTTCAACACAAAAACCAAAATCAAATGGTTTTTAAAACCAAAAGACCAAAATTAAATTGCTTTCAACACAAAAAAAAAAACTGAAACTAAATTGTAGAAACAAAAATTCAAATGTCTTTTCAAACCAAAAAACTGGAATTAAACTTAGATTCCAAAAAATAATATTTTTCCTTTATCGAGGATAATAGATTATAAATTTTTGTAATTGTAAATTTTTTTGATAAAAACTAGGAAAGAACCCCGCTTCGTGGGGTTGGACACGACAAAAAAATAGAAAAAACCGTAAAATTATAAAATTACCCTCTCAACAACGGACGCATAATAACATAATGAGTTAGTAAAAATAGTAATGATTCTTATTTCACCCTAATAATAAGATTTTCTTGTAAACAATACATTGTGTAAAAATGAATACGGGACTTTTTTTTTATTTAAGATGAAAAATAAAACACATATATAAAAAATTGACCTACAACATCATCCGTATATACAGTTCTACTCAGGGGGTACTTCACTATCATCTGATTTCTTCATCACATATTTATTATATTAATCCGATAATTAATAAACAACCAAAAAAACTAACCATTGATTGCTTTCATACAATAACTAATATTCTAATAATCCTTACCCAAATAAAGTTTTCCAGTAGAAAAATGAATAGAATTCGCAAATGGGATGACTCAAAATTATCACTTGTAAGTTGTTAGAAAATAAGGGATGAATAGATTGCTTGGATTCTCTGAAAGTCGTGATTCACTATCAATTTAAAGTATTTCGATGGTATGGATCGAACACTCAGTTGGATAAAATTCACAGAATGAATTCTGAGAATGTATGTGAAAATGTTCTTCAAGATTACCAGAAAAATGACCAAAAAACAGATATATCATTACTGTCTGGAAACTGTCAATAGACAATTATAAACTGTCATAAAACTACCAAAACTGTTATTAAACGGATCTCAGGGAAAAACGGGTTAACTTTCTAAAATTGGATTTTTGATGCATTAAACGGTCTGCCCCTTGGACCCCGCTAGGGGCTGCTACCCCTGGGACCCCGCTCCTAGGGGCGCTGCCCACGGACCCCTGTTTGTTTAGGGGTTTCGCCCCTAAATAATAATGTACTTTGAATCTTGAAAAACTTTAGCAAATGTGCACTCCTACACCATCCTAACTTGTTCAATATTCAACAAGATCACTTTTGGTCAACAAATTTAATCCTATTACACTTAAATAATATTGATGATATAAAATCACCAACATAAGTAAAGGTTTGAGTTAATTACATCAAACATAAAAATAACATCCTTGACCAATTAACCTGATTAAAGGATAAAAAAGGATCATCTAAATTCAAAGCACCTGAAAGTATTATCTGATTATCCATTTAATCTTGAAAAAATATTAAGTTTTACATAATTTTACACAAAAGTAAGCTTAATTCCTACATTATAGTAATAATAAAAACAAAAGTTTGTTACCATTGTTTTGAAGTTGTCCTTTCTTATTTTATACCTCTTCTTCATCAACTTTTTTGTACCCAAATAACATACACATACATAATGCAGTCATAAGTTACATTTTTAAATAAAAAATATGAAACAAATAATCAGCCATGTAATAAAAAGCTTGTTAGCATTGTAATAACACGAACCTTGTATTCAATTTTGTGGAGGAATTGAACATATTTTACAAAACAGTTGACATGTAACGATGGCTTATGTGCATGCATTTAAGAAAAACATCATCTTACAACATTCATTGAATCAGACATTTCATCAAACACCTGTCGTGCAAAAGGAAATACAATTCCAAGTAGTAAGCAATTAGATTAAAAAACTTATATCATATTAAATTAAAGGAAGAAATTCCAATTTTCAAAATTATTTTCAAAATAAACCAAAAAATCAGGGAACTATACTAAGGAACACTATGAAGCTACTAACCATTTAAAATTACAGTACTTGTAAGATTAGTAGATCACAAAAAAAAAAAAAAAAAAGAAAAGAAAAAACCCTTACGAAATGAGGATGCAGTCGGGAACATCTGAAACATCATTTCTTGAAATCACCAACACAAGAATCTTCTCTTGACTTCCATTATCCATTTTTAACATAATATGTGATAATTTCATATAAAAATCACCTAATCTTGATGCTCTACAATCATACAAAATCTTGAAATTTAAGTTTGACCTTTTGGTT